TTGCGCCTCTCTTAATGATAAAGACAGCTGGGAATGAAGTGAACAACCAGGAACATGTCCTCTGCAGCAACATTGACAAATGGGATATTCTCTGCGACATGAGCCTTGGGAGCGGTGGTGGTTTAGACAAAACATGTGATCATAATTTGTCAGTGAGAGTTGCATGGTTTATTCCTTTTGAACTAGGTCAGGAGGATATATTTGTTACAGGTGTGCCCAAAGCGATTTTGGCATGATGTTTCCAGTTTATTGTTCTGGGGGTTGTGTCTTGTCAGGCTGAGAATTTTTGGCGGTAGCTGGCAGAGTGCACACAAAGAGCCATGGCTGAAGAAGACGATGAAGACGAGACGGTTGTTGTGGTTATGATGGCAAACAAATGTTGAAGCTGCCTCAAGTATAGAAATTGGGAGAAAGAGGATTGGGTTTTGGTGTTTATGTGTAAAAGAGAGAGAGAGAGAGAGAGAGAGAGAGAGAGAGAGAGAGAGAGAGAGAGAGAGAGAGAGAGAGAGAGCAGCTGGGGAGTACAAATGTTGAAGCTGCCTCAAGTATAGAAATTGGAGAAAGAGGATTGGGTTTTGGTGTTTATGTGTAAAAGAGAGAGAGAGAGAGAGAGAGAGAGAGAGAGAGCAGCTGGGGAGTGCTCTCATGTGGATAAGGGACCTTGTGTAGGGGTTTGCAGACATCCGGTTAATTCTAGTGGATCATCCTTATTGTTCTTGATGAACTTGTTCATTTAGGGCAGCCTTGGTCGGAATCCTTCAATCTGAAGGCCTGTGTTCACTCTATGCTGGATGGGGAGCAGTTTTGTGCCGGAATGTCCCACAGTCAATAATAAAGGCAAGTATGATTTGTTACCTTGCCCCTTCCCTAATTCTTGTTTGTTACCGTACCCCAGCCTCATCTGACCCCAGTTCTGACAAATTCCACACTGGCTTTCTCATATACCCGAATGACAAATATTCTCCTGAATCCTGGATGACGTTTCCCTCGTCTGTTAATCTTCCATCTCTTGCATTTCCTTTGTCTTATGTTGGATACGGAGCAGTTGTTACCAAACTGCTCCTTGTGCTTTCCCTGGGATCCGCCAACCAATACTTATTGCTATGGTGGTACCCTCTCAAGTGCCGAACTGCCTCCTCAACTGACAATGACTACCGTCTTCACCCGAATAGAACACCTGGTCATTATAGCTGTATTTGATGCGTCCAGATGTAGCAATAATTACTGGGCGTTCTGTTCCTGTGAAGGTAGTACTGCTGATGTGGCAGGTGCCGAAATTGCCCCAACAGGCAGCAGTTCAGGGAGGTGTACCAGAAGCCAAGCCACACGAGAGTCAAAATAACGGATCAAGAGTATTGAGGGCCATAATAGCTTCTGGGACATTGTACAAGACTTCTCTCAGTGCACAGCCATACAGGAAAGTAGGGATAAAACCACACCACAGCTTGAGAAATTGATCCAACCCACGCAGACAGTGAACAGGAACCTACCTATGTGCATCAGGTTTGTCACGTCGATGTGAGGAACAAGCCCTCAAGTGGCCCTATCAGACATCACATTGTTCTGGGCTAAGGCCCCCAGCAAGCCAAGTGCCCGCCCTAAGTGAAGGTGGGCCTGAATATTCGTCAGAGGCAAAATTCGACATTTCCATATGGGGTATTCAGGCTCTCGCAGCACGCCAGTTGGTTGGGAAGACGCGTGAGCCTCACATTGCTGCGCCATACAGTTGGCCCAGGCCTTGACAGTTACGGCTGGGCACACTTACACAAAGCAGGGCCGATACATTGGGAAGCAGGCCTTCGGCCTTTGCAAAAGCAGTAGTGCCAATGCACCTGCCCGGGAGCCCTGCACGGATGCCGCAAACAGCCCAAGTCCAGAAGACTCAGGCCGTGCCCAACCGAAAAGGGCCCAGGCCCTCAACTGTAAGTCTCGGGCCTGGGCACAGGGTCTGAGGCCCAACCGGAAGCTACTGGAAGCTTCCAGCCAGGCCACACGCAGCATCCAGCAGGCTGACACTTCCATAAAGGAAGTGAGGCAGCCGAGGCCAGACACACTGGCCAGCGCTGGCAATGCGGAATTGCTGCTGCGCTACTGCCAGGGGCGCTGACGGAGCGCGAGGTGGTGAGAGGGGCGCTGCAGGGCAGCGGGGCGCAGGCGGCCATAGCCGGGCTGCTAGGCGCCAGGGGGTATAGCGGATGATCGGGTGGTCTTCAGGGAGTGAGGCGATGTGTGGGATAATCAAGGTCTGATTGAGGGTGACGAGATAAGTACCTGGTACATGAAGAGAGGTCGGCGATGGTGCTGACAGTCATGTACATTGGTCTTCGTGAGCCGAAGTGATCCTGTTGCGTGAACCAGCTGTAGTGTAGGCTAGTGCGGTAGAGTGTCCTCTCTTTGGTGAGGAGTCGTGTGCGCTCTATCTTGAGAGACGACATTCTTCCCGGTGGCGCATCTGGCAGGAGAGGGCGGTGCCTCTGAAGGGCCCTGGTCGAAGCACGGGTCACGGTCACCATGCCAACCCATGGGTATTAGTACACGCAGGCCATGCTGCTTTGTCCATTGAGGCTCTTTGCTGCGCTGATAGAAGGGGTGTGAAGACTGACCAGTCCTATTGAGATGCTCCCAGACCGTCTATAAACATTTCTGGTTGGGGTCTGAACTGTCCACTGGCTGTGATCGTCGTCCTGATTGCGACGTTAAAGAATTCCTGAGGACTCCAGGGGCTGTCCTTAAATTGCCTCTTGATCAGCCAGATCAGTCAGACGTAAGGCTCGTTGCACGCGAGGAGTAAACAAAGGGGCAGGCTGGTCATAAGCATACTTCTTAGGCACAGGGGTGGGCCGTGGTTGCACACCTTAGACACCGCAGCTTGATGATGCTCACAGATACGTTGGATACAGGGGAAGGGGATTCCAATTGTGAACTCAGTTGTACATCTGCTCACATTAGTCTAGGTTTTTATTTTGATTAGTTGGTTGACCGACTGCTGACACCTAACAGACAGACTAGAGTAGGACTGTAATCTACCATAGTCAGTTCTTCTCGAATCTTCTGTGCAGACTAATCAGAATAGAGTAGACAATGTGTACAGTTTGTGGGGATGCTGTTGATGCCGCTTGACTAGTAGACTAGGTAACTCGCCGGACATTATTATTTTATTTATTTTTAGATCCGGTCGGATGCATGCTGCGGTAGGTTCCAGCGAGGACATTAGTGCAGACAGCGTCTGCCTAACCTATGAGTGGATCAGAGGGTGGTGAAGGTGCAGATGACGATAGGAACACTCCTAGAGTGTTTCAGGCCCTACAACCGGGAGAAGAGAGAAGATTAAGGGCTGAAGCTAGGGCCCGTAATCTTGAGGCTGCAAGGGAAGCAGCAGCAGCTAGAGTGGTAGCAATGGCTACTTCTGCGGCAACTGCTGCAAACTCAACTGGTCAAGGGCTAGGCATGCCGACCGGTTCACAGTCCATCTCCAGTACGTCAGGGGCTGGCACCAGCCAGATGGCGGGCTCGCAGTTCATCTTGCCGCCTCCATGCAGTCGGGAGCACATGGAGCTCCAGCAAGTCGAGAGGATCTGCTTGAGGTTAAAGGAGGAACTTAGGCAGGCTACTAAAAGAGGAGGCTACTAAAAGAGGAAAAGAGATCAAAGAAAGAAGTGTCAGACTAGAGGGCAGGGAGGCAGACTTGGCTGCGCTAGAGGCATTAGAGGACTCTGTCCTTAACACTACAAGAAAGATCCTTAAGGCATGTGTCCTATCCATGCATGCGTACATAGACAGTAAGATGGACGCCATGCAGAATACCCTAGACCAGATCCTGCGAGCACTACATAAACCAGGGATCCTTTACCATTGCTGCCATTCTCAGCGATGACAGGCCCCTATGCCGCTCAGTCTGGACCACCAGCAAGTGGTACATCAGCAGCAGCTCTATCTCGGACTGTTGCTTTTTCGTCTTCTGGTCCAGCGACTGTAGCTACACCACATTCGCCACCTGTCTCGCAAGCGGGACAGCAATATCCTTGGTATCCTAAGACCCCACTAAACCCACCTTCAACCTTTTCAGGAGACGAGAAGGATGAGGCTCTCGACACATGGGTGAGAACGGTGCCAGTGTGGGTGAGGGCAAAAAAGGACATTGGTAAAAGAGGAAGTGATTATTGTTGCATCCTACTTAGAGGGTTCAACAGCCCGCTGGCTAAACGGATTAGTAGCTTCAAAGGGCTTTGGCAGGAACATGCATGATTGGGCGCAGACCCACACCTTGGAGAGCTTTATGGACTTAGTGGAGGCTCGTTGGCAAAACCCTCAGCAGGCACAAATTGCCACTGATGGGATTCTAAAGCTTGACTCTAGAAAGTACAAGTCAGTGCGAGAGTTGACCACAACCGTAGATCGTCTGATCGTTGTCTCAGGAGTGGAGTACAATCCAAAGGTCTTATTGACCACTTTCTTGAGATGTCTTCCTGCAGACATCAAGAACTTGTTAGCCAGCGAGGCTCGCCGAGAGTATCACACGTCTGAGTCATTTAGCAAGGACGCCCTAGACTTAGAGGATACGCTGGGTGGAACTCAAACCCCTTCTACGGACGGATGGAGGAAGAAGACTCCACAAGAGTGGAAGAAGAAAGGTAGTCAATTGATGATGGTTGATTCGGATGGGAACCAAACCGAGATCGATGATGTTTCCGAACCTGTGGAGGGTTCAGAGTTTGGCGGTGAGGAGATTGCTGAGGGTAACAACCTCGCCGCCGCAGTTAAGACTAAGGCAAGTGGCCGCGGGAAGGGAGGTCAACAAAGGAGTCAGGGGCATGCCGCTAACCCAAACAAAATAGTTGCTTGGGTTAGAGCAGGTCTGGATCAAGATGTGTGGCGGGACCGTTGGTCTCGTGGTGCTTGCATTAATTGCGGTGAGTACGGTCATGCGCAGTTCAAATGCAAGAACCCGAAGGTCTCGCAGAAGATCCCTCCTAAGGGTGGGTTCTCTTCTTCTCAGTCTGTGGCCTCTACGAGCTCCAGCTCGGGAAACACTTAGGGCTAGTAGAAGTTGTAGCTGCTTTTACTCTCGTTGAAGCGGGTGATGTACCCTCCCCGTTTCAAGACATGGCCAAAGCTGTTGACTCCTTAGTCACCCCGCAGACGCATCCAGACCCAACTAAACTTTGTACGTTGGATGTGTCTGAGGCCTTAGAGGACCTTCAAGGTGAGTGGTCGGCAAGGGACCCTCGTGAGTCCTGGGTGGCACTGAGTAGAGGTCCTAGAGGGGAGCACTTCGTTGTGGAAGTTGATGTGGGTGGTTGCAAGTGCGGCGCCTTCGTAGACATTGGCTCCACGYGAAACTTCATAAGYCGCGACTGCGTTGACAGACTGTGCCTAAAGGACCGGGTGCAGCGCCTTWGTAGACCGGTAGCATYTACTTTGGCCAACAAAGAGCGCATGATGGTGGAGGACTACGTTAAAGATGTAGTTTGCTCCTTCTCCTACCCAGGAGGAGAGATAAACCATAAGAWATCWTTCCYGGTGAGCGACGAGTTGCCCTTTGACATGTTATTGGGCATGTACTACCTCGAGGTTGCCAAGCCCCAGTTTGACTGGGACAAAAAGGTGTTGAAGCACGAGTTGCCTAGTGGGAGAACCGTTAGACTGGCCAAGTACAAAGCTAGTAGGTTGGTAGACTCCAATGGGTGCTTATGCGCATCTGCCTTCTACAATTATTATAAACAGAACCAAGAGGAAGGAATGTACTTAGTCTATGTCTTTGCAAAAGGGGAGGTCGTTAAAACACCCCCAGAGATAGAGACCATCGTCGCCAAGTACCCTGATCTGTTCGAGGAGCC